CGCAGCCCCACCGCCCGCCCCTCCCCGGGTGCGGGCGAACGTGACCCCAGCTCGGCTCACTGCAGGTTTCTGGTTCCCACCTGTCACCTTGCGAAGCGACCCCGTGAGTCCCGGGTAGGAAGCGCTGCCCAGTGCTAAAGACCAACAGAAACGACCCCGGGACCGCTGGGCGCCTGCGCGGGGTCCCACTCTCCGCCCTGCACCTGCCGTGCCGACCCCAGAAAGTGTCTTCCACAGGCAAGGGGGCTGGTGTCACATTGTCACCCCAGAGCGCGGGGACAAAACGACGGACAGCACACACACGAACCAAGTGGGTTCCCGCACAATCGCGTTAGGCGCGCGCGCACACACCCACCCCCGCTCACACGCACTCACACTGGCACACGCACGCGCTCACACACACCCACCCCCGCTCACACGCACTCACATTGGCACACGCACGCGCTCACACGGACACACCCTCACACGCCGTACACTGACGCGCGCGTGCACACACAGGCACACAAACACGCGCGCTCGCACACAGCCACTCACACGCACACACGCGCGCGCACACTGGCACACACACACACACGCACACGCGCACACACACACAGGTCCGGAGGCCCGGTCCCGCGGGCCCCCAGGGCGCCCTCGCTCACCTTCCCGTACAGATCCATGGCGGGCGCGGCCCCTTCTAGTCGGGTTCCTGCCACCGGAGGCGCGGTCTCCGCAGGAGGCGCAGATACACGCGCAGCACAAAGACGAGGTGGGGAGGATGGCGGAGGGAGAGGGACGTGGGCGCCGGCTGACGCGGACAGAGGCTCGTTCCCCGGGAGGCGCGTGCAGTCCAGGCGCCACGCAGAGAACCGCTCCCAGGACCGCGCCCGGGCGCACAGAGCGGGCGGCCCCTCCCAGCCCCAGCCCGGGCGCGCGGGGATGTTCACCCAAAGCCGGTCCTACAAAGGGAGCAGGCACATGGCTGGAGCCAGAGCCGGCACCGAGGGCAGCCGGGTCCTTCCTCACGTGCAGTCACCCCTCCCACAGCTCACATGTTTCACTCTAGTGCAGCCACTTTTCCTCCTGGTTGGCTAACATGTGTGGCCGCGCATGTTCCCTGCACCGCCTACGGGTCCATACGCAGAGGCCCGAAGGGATTGCTATTGGAGGCGGGGCGGGAAAGGATGAACGTGATGTAGTCCTTATTCTGGGTGAACAGGTGCCCAGGGAGCGGCAGGAATTCTGTCACAGAAGAAGGGGAGAATATTGGAAGGCGGTGTAGTCTCCGCCCCAGGCACAGGGGACTCTGTGTCAAAGCTTTCCCCCTTTGCAATGTGACGGAACTGGAAAAGCCTGCTTAGACATCCCCGTTCCCAAGGCTCTCTGCACCTGGGCAGCAATCACGGCCTCAGAATCAAGGAACTGCCCCAAAGTTAGAATATTCCAGCTCCTGTCGAGAACACAGGGAGAGAGCTTTGGGAGCCTTCTCCACTGTCAGAGGAATCTGGGGTTAGTTGATAGGAAAAAAGGTTTTAAAGGAAAAATGTAGTTAATAGAAAGCAAAGGGGCCACCGAGAATGTCAGTCTGCAACGTGGGCCTCCCTGCTGACCCTGGAGCAGGCTCAGCGGTCCTGAGGTCTCACCCTCAGAGGCGTGGTGGGTGAGGACTCTTCAATCTCTGTCATCGCTTTCAGTTTTCTCCCCTTTGTCCCACATCACTATTCATTATAAACTGGCTTCTTGCTACCCTGTGTTTATTGAACATTTACTAATATTCACTTTGATTGTTGTATTTATCTAGTTTTTCTATATCTGTTACCAGCCTGTGTCTGTGTCAGCTCTACTAAATAGTGAAATTCTATCAAGTAGGGTCAAGTGGGGATAGTCTGGCTAACACAGAGCCAAGAACAAAGGCTGTTAATTTAGTATTAATTAGTGGTATTGTGGCTGGTTGCGTCAAAAATAGAAATAGATGCTTTGTTTCCATCACTGTTGCCACCTCTCTGTTGGGATTTACACTGCAAAGTCAACGCCTGGGACTTGGTGTAAGAGGGCCTCACTGACGCCCTCCTCAGGCCCCACGCACACCCACAGAGCGGATGGCAGGTGTCGAGCCTAGATACCGCCCGGCCATTTCCAGTCAAGCGCCCTCTCGGACTCCACCCCGGCTTTGATTTCAACTCTGTGCCTCCCTCGAATTAAAAATGCTATTGTGTCATGTTCCCTTTGAAATCAAACATCCTACAATGTCATTGATTTATTCTTAATTAAAAGGAAAAACCATTTTAACTCATTCCTGCTCGTGATGTTTCCAACCCACACATAATCAATATAAGTAAAAGGTGTTTTTAAAAAATAAACACATGCACCCCAATTTTCTTTTTATAATACAAATATGAGTCTACTAATGATAACTACCTTTCCTCCATATCTTTTTGTGGGAGGCATTTTGTATATGTTATTCCATTTAATCCTGAATGATATTGCAAGGTAGTGTTATCGACCTTACTTTACAAAGAAGAAAACTAACAGGCAGGTTAAGTATTTTGCTCACAGACACCAGGCTAGTAAGGTTCTGGGCCAGGATGTGAAGCTCGGGGTCATCCGGTTCCAAAGCTCAGACTCCTGCCCATAGTTTTTCTTATAAAAGGTAATGTTGCATCAAAATAATATGTTTTATAATCTCTTACAAAGAACTTCTATCCCACAAACATACTGAGTATTGTTCAGCTACAGGTGTTAGAAGTTTGGGTAAAGGTTATGTGACCTACATCTTTATTGAGGTGTACTTCTAAAAAATAGATATTATCTTTAAAAAAAACACCAGCACTCATAAAGTTGCTACAAATTTTGAAAACAATGTTATAATCAAGGCTCACAGTTTAGATATAAGCTTTTTACCTCTTAAGTTTCTGACCAGAACAGAATAGAGGGTGGCTCTAAACAGAATCCATTATAGGACTTGCAAGGTGTGGAGCATGTGTGTGTAAATTGTGTGATTTGGAAGCGGGGGCAGGAGGCTGGAGGGGGCTGAGGCAGACGTCATGCTGCTGGCACCCAGCCAGAGCACCTGAGACAGCCTGCACACCTCCCATCCTCACCCACTGCTCTAAGCTAAGCCCACATCTCAGAGCCAAGTCCAGCCACGAACAGGGTTCATGACAAACATTTCTGTCCTGAACTTCCAGAGCATGTAAGACATTACAGATCTGCACGTGGAGAAGTGCTCTCACAGATCACCCAGCTCGATCCTCCCACTTTGTGGATAAGAAATTAGATCCCACCCTGGCCGGCATGGCTCAGTGGTTGAGCATCGACTTATGAACCAGGAGGTCATGGTTAGATTCCTGGTCAGGGCACATGCCCAGGTTGCAGGCTCAATCCCCAGTAGGGGGTATGCAGGGGGCAGCCGATCCATGATTCTCTCTCATCATTGATATTTCCATCTCTCTCCCTAAGTCAATAAAAACATTTTAAAAAAGGAATTAGGTCCCAGAAAAGTGGAAAGAGCTGCCTAAAGCCCCACATTTTGCCTGATGCTGTGGGGCTCTGGCAAACCCTGGAAAAAGACTGTTCTGAAAGTATAATCATTAATATAATCAACCTTGTGTGTATCAATAATTTCCATGGAGTTATTTTTAGGTTCACATATTGTAGTTAGAATGGAGAGTCAAAAGGGACTCTGTCTTCATCCTCAAGGGGGCTCCAAACTGATTCTGGAGGCCAGACCCAGAAACTGGTAATAACAACAACACCAAGGGCCTAGGCATCACCGAGCAGGCCTGGCAGCGCCCACTCTCAGCTCTGTTCCTGGGGTTCATCCGAGAGCCACTGCTCAGGGCAGGTCTGCGGAGAGTAGCTGGTGCCTCCGGATGAGACAGGCCCCCAACTGCAAATGTGGAATGAGAGGCAGACTCAGAGGCCTTCAAAGGAACGGAAAGGTAATTTCGTTCTTCTTTCTGAGTCTGCAGATTAAAAAAAACCCAAGGCTCCAAGACCAATAAGGACTCAGCCAAACCCCCAGGGCACAAGCACACAGTGTATTGGTGAGCTTTGCTGTGTAACAAACAACTTCAAAGGTTAGTGATTTGACAACAGTCACTGCTGGTTCACGATTCTGTGGGTGACGGCTGGGTGTGCTGAGCCAGGTCTGCCCAGCAGGTCCCTTCTCGGTTGGGCACACACACCTGAGCAGCAGGTCAGCAGAGGGGCTGTGCTTCTCGGGTTGCTGGGCTACTGATGGGCGATGGGGGAGGGACCAGGCTGTGTGACTCTGCCATCTCATAGGCGACCTCGAGTCTGTACCCAGAGCAGCTCTTCGGGTTCTAAGAGAAGGAGCAGAAACACCAGGCCTCCAGGGGCCTTGATTCGGAACAGGCATAGATTCCTTCAGCCAGAAGTCATGTTCAGCTCAGAGGCAAGACATGGAGAAATAAACTCGACTTCTTGATGAAGGGAGCTACAAAGTTACGTTTCAAAACCACTCACATGCTGGAAGGTGGAGAGTGTGGCCCTGTTAGGACCCACCGCACAGGCCCGCGCTGCGTGGGGCGCAAATCCCCAGCCCGGCCCCTGCTCCCCACACAGGACCCCGTCACCTTCCTGCTGCAGGGTCTGTCAACCCCTGGGCCCCGCTTCAACCCTCAGCCACCGCACTGCTGCGGATTAACCTTCCATTTGAGAAATGCAGTGTCATTATTCACGGGGACCAAAATGTGTCCAGCTCAGCCACGCCGGATGCACACCACCCCCAGTGGCAGGCAAGGTGAGGGTTCCTGGACAGAACTCACAGGCCTGTCTCCACCAAAGAGACATGCTGCGCATCCTCAAGCTGCACATGAGTCAGAGTCAGCATTTACAGAGACAACGTCAAAGGAATGGGTGGCAGCTCCCCACTGTTACAGTATGAATTTGGGGGACACAATCCATCAGTTCATAGCAGGCACTTAACTGAAACATGTTAGGCCTTACTATTTATAGGGGACGGAATCAAAGGGTAAAGCGCGTTATTTAATGTGGCAATTGTCATCGATAGAAAACATGCCTGTGTGTGCAGACAGGAGAGATTATGTCCAAGTGAGATGACATCGCATCGACCATATGAAAAGCCAATAAATTGTGGTCCAAGCATATTCTTAAGAAATGCAATAGTATTTACAAAAAGGTCTAAAATCTGCAGCAGTGGTTGCCAGTGGAGAGGTGAATTAGGGCTGGTAACATTTAGACCCAATTAGTTCTGTCTCTGTACTATAACGTCTTCTATATTCTTTGATTTCTAAAAAAACAACTGTGCATGTATTATTTGGATAAAGCAGGTGTTTCAAAGAAATAAAAAATACTGTAATTCAGTTTATTTTTTCTGCCCAATGTCCTAGGCTATATTTTAAGCCTAGACAATCTGGAGGTTAAGAGATACAGAAATAGATGGAGCTGTGGTTAGGAAAGATTATATCAGAAAATATCAGAAAACATATGCCCAGAAAACAGGACCTCTGGTGGCAGGAAGATTTGTGTAGAAAGAGGGGCAGCAAGAGAAAGACACAGTGAGCAATCTGGAATACAAAAGACAGGCTATCCCACTGCTTTGCTATGTGGTTGCTCATGCAATCAGAACCCTTTGATTGAACACTTACTCTCAGGCTGTATTTAACAATCACAGTTAAATATTTAGGTTTGTGCCAGGCACTGTGATGACAGCTCAGGACAAGGGCAGGAGGGATTCATGCCTTGTGCTATGATTACACAGAACGAAGTCACCTCCCAGGTGCCTGAGGTCGCAGGTGCTTCTGCTTCTGCTTTGCTCCAGCTCTGGCCACCTCCCCCCACAGCAGTGGTCAGGCCGAGCAGGAGGCGGTGGCCGGGGCAAGTGAGAAAGTGGCAGCTGTCACTGAGATCAGGTTCAGGGAAGAGAAAGGGGAATAAGTGACAATGAAATGAGCCATACTGTTACCACAGAAAACAGACAAGTGGGGGAGAGGGGATGAAATTAAAGATTAGAAAGGACTTACTCTGCCAATGTTTCCCTGGAAGTGTCAGCTGAGCCTTAGAGGGCAGGGGTCTCAGGCCCAGGGTGAAGTGAGTGGCAGCTGCTACTCCCCTCCTGGTGACTGTCCTGCTGGTGGATTGGAAACAGGCGAAATCGTGGGAGATTCATACTCTTCCATCATAACTAGCAACAGCCTCATGTGATGAAGTCTCTTGCTTCCATACCACTTACATCATAGAAAAAGCAGCCTAGAGATGTATAACAATGCAGCTCCCTCTGCTCCATTCCAAAGGTTTGGGTTGCAGAGTACAATAGTGGAAGTGGAGAATACATTATAGAGAATCAACAGTGGAGTAGAGAAGCAGAGGATCAAACCAGCAATTTGGAAGATAAGGAAGCAGAAAGCACCCAATCAGAACAGCAAAAAAAAGGAATTTTAGAAAATAAGGATAGTGTAAGGAGCCTCTGGGACAACTTCAAGCACCAACATTTGCATCAGGGAAGTGCCAGAAGGAGATGAGAGGTAGCAAGATATTGAAAATCTATTTGAAAAAATGACAGAAAACTTCTCTTACCTGGTGAAGAAAATAGATATACAAGTCCAAGAAGCACAGAGAGTCTCAAACAAGAGGAACCCAAAGAGGCCCACACCATG